ACTAAAAGAATTCATTACCAGTAAACAACAATAAATAGAAAATACTTAAAGAAATACTACACATAGAGAACACAAAAGCAAACACCAAAATTCACAAGTAAATGAAGTTTTCTAGAAGGGAAGTTAGATAAATGAAGATTAAGGCTGAATTTAATATATAGAAAGCAAACAAAAATGCCATGAAATAATAACAGATTCTCTATAAAATCATTGAATGTAAATGGACTCAGCTGTCCAATTAAAAGGTACAGACTGGCAGACTGAATTAACAAACAAGAGTATACGTTTTTTTACAAGAGACGTATTCTATAGGCAAAGAAATTCACGGGATGAATGTGAAAGGATAGGAAAAGATACTTCATGTAAATGGAGTCTGAAAACAAGCAGAGGTAGCTATTCTCATATATGAAAATCAAATTTGAAGCAATAATTAATCATAAGAGACAAGGAAGGCCACTATATATTGGTAAAGGGAAAAATTATATGAAATATTTATGCCCCAAATGTTAGTACACCCAATTACATAAAACAAATGTTTCTTTATATTAAGTTCCAGATAGATTCCAATACAATAAAACTGTGTGATTTCAACACAACCTCCTCAACCATAGACAGATCATTCAGACATAAAATCAATAAAGACACTGTTGACCTAAATGATAGTGTAAATACAATGAAACTAGTAGATATCTGTAGAATATTTTGTCCAACCACAGCTGAGTTAAATTTTTTCTCAGCAGTTCATAGACCCTTTTACAAAACAGACAATGTTTTATGTCACAAAGCATGTCTTAACATGTACAAAAATTTAATATAATTCCATGTACCTTATCATATTATAATAGATCGAAATTACAAATTAATAGCAAAAAAATACAGAAATCATATAAACACATGGAGATAGAACAATTCTCTATTGAATTAAGAATAGGTCATAGAAAAAATAAGAAGAAAATTTTTAAAATTCTCAGAATCAAAAACAATGGTGATATGATATACAAAATCTGTGGGTCACTATGAAGTTGGTTATAAAAGCAAGCTTTACAGCAGTAAGTGCCTATATGAAAAAAAATACAGAAATACCCCAAAACAATAATGAAAAAATAATAATGGGGTTCTTTCTCAAGGCTTTGAAAATGCAGGAACAAACAAATTCTCAAACTAGTGGAAGACAAGATTTAATTAAGCTCTAATTTAATTAACCTTAATTTAATTAAGATTAGAGCTAAAATTAATGCAGTAAAGAATACAACATAAATAATCACTGCAACAAAGAATTGGTTATTTGAAAAAATAAACAAAATTGATAAACCCTCAGGAAAACTAACCAAAAGAAAGAGAAAAGACACAAATAAACAAAATTAGAGGTGAATAAAGATGATATCACCCCAGACATTTCTGAAAACCAGAGGATCATTAGGTATTATTTTGAAACTTATACTCCAATAAATGGCAAAATATAGAAGATATTCACAAATTTCTGGACACATATGAGCTACCCAAATTGAGTCAAGAAGATGAAGTAAACTTAAACAGATAAATATCATGCAAAAAAGATTAAAATAATAATAAAAACCTTCCAACAACGAAAAGACCATGACCAAATGGATTCTCACATGAATTCTACCAGCTCTTTGAAGAATAATTAACACCAATCTTTCCAAATTATCCCATAAAATAGAAAGGGAACACTACTAAATTCATTCTAGGAAGCAAGTAATACCCTAATACTAAAACCAGATAAGGACAAATCAAGTGAAAAAAAATAATATCCCTGATGAACATAGGTGCCAAATCTTAACAAAATATTAGCAAACTGGCAGACTGAATTAACAAACACATCAATAAGATGCTTCTACCTTACAAACACATCAATAAGATGCACACCATGATCAAATTAGATTTACCCCAGAAATGTAAGGCTGGTAAACATATATAAATCAATAAATGTAATTCATCACATAAATAGAATCAAGAGCAAAAATCACCTAATAATCTCAATAGATGCAAAAATTTCGTGATGAAATCCAACACCTATGTATTTAAAAACACTGAAGAAATTAGTGATAAAAGGAACTTACCTTTACATCATAAAGTCTGCATATAATAAACCAAAAGCCAGCTTCAGAATAGATAAAATTCAACAGCATTCCATCTAAAGTCAGGATTAAGACAAGTATATCCATTTTCACTACTGTTACTGAATACAGTTCTTGAAATTTGAGGCAGAGTAACAAGGATAGAGAAGGAAATTAGAGGTATATAAATAGAAAAAGAAGGTAAGCAATCTCTGTTTACTGATGACATGATCTTATACTTCAAAGACTCCAAATCTTCACCAAAACACTTCTAGATCTGATAAACAAATTAATCAAATTTGTAGGATAGAGGATCAACATATAGATTAACATCCTAAAATCAATTGATTTACTATATTACTTTAATGAATCTTCCAAAAAAGAAGTTAAGAAACACTCATTCACAATAACTAAAATAAAGAAAGAAAGAGGCATGTGAACTTTATGATAAAAATTATAGTACCAAAGAAAAAAATTGAAGTGAACCCTAGAAGATGAAATAACATCCCATGTTCATGGATAGGCAAAATGGCAGTATTATCAATAGCAATCTACAGATTCAATGCAATTCCCATCAAAATACCAAAGACATTTTTCACAAAACTAGAAAACACAGTCCTAAAGTTCATAAGGAAGAATTAAAGATACAAAGTAGCCACAGCAATCCCAAACAGTAAGAGCTGTTTGGAGGAATCATAAGATCTGTTCTCAAAATAATTCAACACAGTTATAGTAATAAAGCCAGCATGATATTGGCATGAAAACATATATGAAGATCAATGGAATTGAATAAAAGACACAGAGACAAGTCCACATAGATATAGTCATCTGATCCTTGACAAAGATGCCCAAAACACACGCTGAAGAAAAATAGCCTCTTTTTACAAACAACGCTGAGAAAGCTGGATATCCACATGCAGAAGAATGAAATAAGGTCTCCATCTCTCACCGTCTCAAAAAATCAACTCAAAAGGATTAAATACCAAGGAATTAGACCAGAAATACTGAAACAGCTTGAAGAAAACATAGGGTCAATACTCTTAACATTCTAGTGCAGGAAACAATTACCTTAATGAAATTTCCACTAGAACTCAAGAAATGAAATCAAGAATCAGCAAATGGGATGGAATCAAGTGAAAAACTTCTGCACAACAAAGAAAGCAGACCATGAAGAGAAGCCACAGAACTAGACATTTCTCCAAAGATAATATACAAATGGCCAACAAATACATGAAAAGTGTTGAATATCTTTAGCAGTCAGGAAGATGCCAATCAAAACTACACTGAGATTTTATCTTACTCCAATTAAAATGAAAGTCATCAAGAATACAAACAAAAATAGTTGCTGATAAGGATGTGGGGCAAAAAGTATACTTACACTTTGTTAGTGAGACTATAAAATAGTGTGACTAGTTTGGAAAACAGTATCATAATTCCTTGGAAGATTAGGAATGAAACAATCATATAATCCAGCTATTCTATTCCTTGATATTCATCTAAAATATTTAAAATCAGCATTCTATACTGATACTTTTCTACCAATATTTATTGCAACATAATTCACAATAGCCAAGTTATGGAACCAAATGTTCATCAACAGATGAATGAATAAAAGTAATGAGGTATATATACACAATAAAATTTGACTTATCAATAAAGAATAAAATTATGTCATTTGTGGGTAAAAGGATGGAGGTAGAGAACACCATGCCAAGTAAAATGAGCCACACTCAGAACATCAAGAGTTGAATGGATTCTCTGATGTGGAAGTTAGAAAAAGAGAGAGAGAGAGAGACAGAGACAGAGAGAGCAATGGGGGATCTCATGAAAATAGAAGGAAGATCAACAGAGTAAAGGAAAGGGATCCTAGGGAGGTAGGAGAGGAAGTTGTGTGGAAGTACTGGGGAATGAAAGATGCCGAATTATGCTACGTGCTTGTGTAATACACCACAACTAATGTCTATATGTTCTGACATATTATATGTACATGTTCATGTATATATGATATGTACCCCTTCTGTGCAATATATACATGTGCCATACATATGGAATATACCATATATATGTGATATGCTAATTCATCAATAATAATAATAGTAGGGAGATATTAGTATAGCAGAGTAAGTGGGTCAGGAAAGACGAGCGGAGGGAAAGTGAAGGTACTGGGAAATGAGATTGATCTAATTATGGTGTGTACGTGCATAATATGGCATAGTAAATCTCACTATAAAAATTTTAAAAGGAGTTTTCTTTTCCCCAACATTATTCTAATGCCTACATTTTTCTTTTTGGTGGTAGTGCTGGGAATTGGATGCAGGGACACTTTGCCAAGAGTTGCACCTCCAGCCCTCACATTTTCTATCTTTTATTGTGGTTCAGGGTCTCACTAAGTTGTCGAGACTGATCTGGAACATGTAAGCTGTCTGCCTCAGTCTCCAGGTCACTGGGGTTCCAGGCATGAGCCACCCCACCTTGAGTTTTCCAGGTACTACCTGTGCCTCCCAATGCATAATTTACCTGCCCTTTACCTGTGTCACCTTGAGCGTGTGCCTTTTAGGATTATAAGATATGGCTGAATGTTAGGGTCTGTAAACAAGTCAAGATGGCGCCTGACATTTTGCCAGAGGGAGTGGTTTGTGAAGTAATGCCAGCAAGCCATTAAGTGTGGAGATTCCTTATTGGTTGACTGCTGTATCTAGTTTATGTTAATTAGATAAGCTGTGTGGAATGTATATATACCCCTCCTGTCCTACAATAAACGGCTCCCACTCCTGCTGTCTCAATCTACACAAGTTCCTCGTCACCCCCCCTGTTATTTTGCTGCAGCTGGACTGCGGCAGCTGAACATCCCCTTCTTTTGATACCACTGTGCAACCGAGCCCCTTCTCTCTGCTTGATGAGGTAACGTTACTTTTTGCCATGTTTTCATTCCATTTTCCTTTATTTGGCATCTCAGAAACTGCATTAATACATGATTGTTCAAATAGTAGGCACTCACCGAAAGCAAGTTGGGTATAAATAGGAAATTAACAGAAGCAACATAGAAATCTACAATTCACAGGTGATGTTTTTGGTAACATAGGATTTTTGCTTCACAAGAATATTTTTCCATGCCATTTCCATCTTTAGCATGCCCCTAAGATGAACCGTGTTCCTTGGATATTGGCTTCTGCAACAGAAGAAAATAGGAAAACTATCTGGACTTTTGCTCCAGCCTAGGGAATGGAAGAAGATCAGGGCAGGAGCTGGAATCTGTTCTGATACTTATTTAATTTGGCACAGCCCATGGACACGGACTGGAGCTGGGTCTTGTAAGGCAGATATTCAATTCAGTTGGGAGCACAGAAGGCAAACCTCAGCTTTGACTTCAGCTGAAGGGGCGGAGTTCTGGCCTGGAGGGTTGGTGTGTGCAGGTGGAGAGGTCCCCTCTCCATCGCGGTCGCCATCCAGCGGGAATTCTGACACCTGAGCTGGCACTCTGTGTGCTTCCGACTTCCCTCTGCTCTCCTCACTTGTTCTCATCCAAAGCCCGATCCACCACATGGCTGCCCCAAGCAGAGCTAGGGGTTGGCCTCGAATTCTCCTCTTCTGTGGATCCACTGGACGCCCTGCTTGCAGGATGGTTCACGTGAACTGGAAGGGAAACATGAACTGGAGAAGCTACACTTACATCAGACAAAACAGGCGTTAAGACCAAACCTGTAACAAGAGACAAGGTCACTACATTGTTGTCCAGGAATCCTGGCAAGAAGACACAGTGATTGTAAGTACGTGTGCACCTCGTCTGGGACACCAAGTCTCATCAAGTGAACACGTTTAGATCTGGGGAGAGACAGGTGGCAGTAACACTGGCCGGGCACGTCAGGGGCTCACTTCCATCAATACATAGATATCCAGACAAAAACCAACAGAGAAACACCAAAGTTAAACTATCCTGTAGGCAAAACGGACTCAACACTCCGAGAGCCTTGCATCCAGCAGCTATAGGAGGCACAGCCTGCTGGACAGCAGCCACACAGGAGGCCACCAAACAGGGCTCAACAGGCTTAAAGGATTTGAAATCACGTGCATTCTAACCCTGTAGATATCTGGAATAAGTTAGAAATTAACAACAAAAGAAACTTCAAAAAGCATAACTATATGGAGACGTATGTTTGAAATACCTTCGATATGCTATTAAATAAAAAAGGGCCTTCAATATGCTATTAAATAAAAAAGGGCCCAATGAAGATATCAAAAGGGAAAATTAAAAAATACTTCAAAGCAAATGAAAATAGAAATTCAATGTACCAGTGTTCAGAGGGAAGTTCATAGTAATAATTTTCTATCAAAATAGAAAAAATCCAAATAAGCAAACTGTGTGATCTAGGAAAGCCAGGGCAATCATACCAAAGATTACTACTAGGAAATAATTATAAACCTCATAGCAGAGATAAGGGAAATAGAGATAAAAGATTTTAAAAAATACAAAAGACCAACAAAACAAAGAGTTGGTTTTTCAAAAGGTAAAATTGACAAAATTTTAGCTAGGCTAATCAAGAAAAATGAGGAAAGCCTACACACATAAAAATCAGAACTGAAAAGGAGCCATCACAACTGATACCACAGAAGTACCCAGGGCCACTCGATGACATTAGGAACCATACCTGCCAACAGTTAGGAAACCGGAAACCCAGAAGAAACAGACAAAGTTCTGGCCACATACAACCTGCCCAAATTGGACCATGAGGAAATAAAGACCTGAATGAGTAGAGAAACTGAATCAGTAATAACAAGTCTCTCAACAAAGAAAAGCTAGGACCAGATGGCTTCAAGGCTGCTTTCTACCAAACTTATAAGAAATAACTAACATCCCTGTTTCTTTACCTATTCCAAGAGGGTTGAAGGAAGGAATCTCCTCTAAACACTGTGAGGTCAGTGTTACCTTGATACCAAAAGTAGACCAGGGAACAGCCAAAAGAGAATGACCTGAGGAACATCAATGGGAAATTCTCACCAAAAATGAGCAAACAGGGGGCTGGGGTTGTGGCTCAGTGGTAGAGCACTTGCCTAGCATGGTTGAGGCACTGGGTTCGATCCTTAGAACCACAAATTAATAAATTAAAGACAAAAAAACATAGAAGTATTGTATTCATCTACAATTTTTTAAAAAAAGAGCAAACAGAACCTAACAGCAACATGAAAAGTTTTCTGAGCCAAGAACAAGGGGACTTTATCCCAGGGGTGAAGAATGGTCCAATCCATGCATGTCAATAAAAAAGCAATATGTCCATCAATACCATGAAGGATGCAAGTCACACAATCATCTCAGTAGATGTAGAAAAAACAAACATTTGATAAAAATCAACATTTTCTCGCAACATTTTGCAAATGTCAAATTAGATATTTTACAAACTAGATACGGAAAGAACACATCTCAATGTAGAAAAGATTATGTATGTCAAACCCACAGACAATGTCATACTGCATCGGGAAAAGCCAAAGCATCTCTGAGATCTTCAACAAGAAAAGCACGTCTACTCTAAATGTATTTTTTTTCCCTGTGCTGAAGATTCAACTCCGGGTCTCACACGTGCCAGGCAAGCACCCTACCAATGAGCTGCATGCCAGTCCCCACTCTAAGTGCTCTTAATCAATACAGTCTAGCCACAGCCACTAGGCAAGACAAATAAAGAAAGGTATAAAACAGCAAGACAAGAAGTCAGATTATCCCTGTTTGCAGATGGTATGATTCTACTTGTAGAAAAACCTAAAAACTCCACCAAAAGACTATTAGAATAGATAAACAAATTTAGTAAAGTTTCAGGATACAAAATCAGCCTCAGAGGGCTGGGGTTGTGGCTCAGTGGGAGAGCGCTTGCCTAGCACATGCAGGGCATTGGATTCGATCTTCAGCACCACATAAAAATAAATATAAAATAAAAGCATTGTGTATAACTACAAGTTAAAAAATATTTTTAAAAAATCAGCCTCAGATATGAATATCGTAGGCTGGGTTGTGGCTCAGTGGCAGAGCACATGCCTAGCATGTGTGAGGCAGTGGAAGAAAAGAAGAAAAGGGTAGAGACACTTTAAGAAGTCAGTTCAGACAATGATTTTTTGGATAAGACCTCAACAACATAGGCAACAAAAACAAAGCTGACCAATTCAGACGTCTGCGCATTGCAAAGGAAACTGCAAAGTGGAGCAACGCCCTAAAGCATGGGAGAAGATATTGGTTATGTTCCTCTGAGAGAGTACTAATATTCAGCACCTATCAGGAGCTCAAAAACCTCAACAAGAACAAAAGACCCCAGGCAATCCAATTTAAAAATGGGCAAATAATCTGAATAGACACTTCTCAAAAGAAGAAATACAGATGTCTAACAGGTATGTGAAAGATGCTCACTGTAATTAATCACCCGGGAAATGCAAATCACAACTACAATAAGGTATCATGTCACCTCAGTTAGAATGATGATTAGCAAAAATAAAAAGTATGGAATGCTGGCGAGGATACAGGAAGGAGAACTCCTGTGCACTATTGATGGGAATGCAAATTGGCACAGCTGATGTGGAGAACAACATGAAGTTTCCTCAGAACACTGAATGTCAATCTCCCACACGATCCAGCCACCCCATTTCTGATCACAAATCCAAAGGAAATGAAATTAGCATATCAAAGAGATACCTGCACTTCCATATTTATTGCAGCCCTAATCACAATAGCAAAAATGAGGAGTCAACCTGAGTGTCATCAGCGGACAAATGGCTAAAGACAAATGTTGCCTACAACAAAATACCACTCCATCTTTAGAAGAAGGGGATGATATTATTTGCAGCAACATGGATGAGACTTTAGAACACTATGCAAGGTGAACTAAGCCAAGCACAGAAAGACAAGTGCATGTCCTCAGTTATGTGTGAAATCCAAACAATGTAACATGCAGAAACCAGGAATAGTTCAGTGGTAACCGCAGGAGGAGAGAAGGGGATGATAGGAGATGTTGATCCAAATGTACAGTCTGCAGCTGAGTAGTAGAAAGGTGATGATACATTAAGGAGCTGATTCCATCACTCCACAGGGACACCTGTATCAAATCCTCTCCTTGCGCCCTGATGCTCTGTCTGGGTATGTTTGGTTCCCTCTGGAATGCATGGTGGAGTTTAATCCATATCGTGAGGAATTAAGAGGTCAGAAACTTAATCTGACTGTGGAAAACAGTTCAAATAAACTAGTTATAAAGAATGTGTAGGTGCATTTGGGAATTTGAAAGATATATAGTTATTAGAAGAAATGTAAATATACTGAAATAAAAGTTCAAGATTGTTAATTTAGAAATAAGCTTTAAAACAGCACAAAGATTATAATATCATTTGGTCTGGAAGCATTGGTACGAAAATATTAATAGTGTTACTCTCTGGGCATCAGGAATGTGCTATTCTTAGTTCTGTCTTTTTTTTAGACTACCTAATTTATAATAAAGTTTAATAATAAGTTATTTGAAAGAAACTCCACAAGGTGACATTTAAACTCATCACATGCATAACATTGGCCAAAATTTTGAAGACTGATAAAATAAGCTTTTATCAAGTATAAGGAAAATGACACTCTCCTAAGAACAGACCCTGGAGAAACATACTCTTGTGTAGCTAGACATAAACTTACACATTTTACAAAGAGCCAGAGACCATCCAAGGTTTTCATTGTAACTGGGTCAGTGTATGATGGTGTATTTATCCAATTTTATTGAAAAGCTCTAAAAAACAGATCAATTACAGCTATACACATAAGCATAGATGATTCCCAAAACATTAATTTTGAAATAAAAATATATGTCAGTGAGAATCACATGGTTAGGATAGGATATGAGGTCCTGCAAAGCTCCTGCTAATGCAGAAACTTAATCTGACTGTGGAAAACAGTTCAGATAAACTAACTATAAAGAATATGTAGGTGCATTTGAAGGTGACGGGGTTGGACTGTGAGAGCTGTCCACTAGTCAGTCCGTCCTAGTTGGTGGACTGACTGCATGGTAATGTAGGCAGGTGGGTGGGGCTGGAGGAGGAGGTCACCCAGGTGTGTCCTGGAGCAGTTCCCCCTCCCTGTGGCCCCTTCCCTCTCCCTCTCTATTTCCTACCTGCCAGAGTGAACCCTCGGTCCCCACCCTGCCCTTCTGCCATGCTGTCCTGCCTCACCCTGGACCTAGAGCAATGGAGTCGGCTGACCAGGGACTCCATCTAAATGTCATGGGTCATAGTAAGCTTCCTGCACTAAGTCATTCTGCCAGATATTTTGGTCCCCATGATAAAAAGCTGACTAACACACATGTATAATTTGGTTTTATTTATTTAAATTTAAGATAGAGATTATTTCTTGTATATATATTCAAAATGGGGATACATGCATTATATATTTGATATGTAAACATTAAATATTCATAAAAATATAGGCTATTGATAATTTCTGGTAGGAAAATACACTTAGAAAGGGGTGTATTAAGGACTTCAAAGTTACAGGTAATACTCTAAATACTTTTAAGTTTGAACTTGGGGTACATATAATTATTTTATTATTATTTTTGAAGCTGTTTATACGTGTAAATATATAAATAGCATTCATGTGGACTTGAATATATAGTTTTATATATGAT